GTCGTATCATAGATTTCCTCAACATATGATGACCGCTCCTTACGGAACTCATCACTAGGAGGGAAGGTAATGTCGTGGACATATGCATGTAAGCCAGTAATCATATGTATAAATAAGTTGAACCAAGTAAAAGTAAGTAAAAGTAAGTTAATTCTATAATATTTGCTATGGAAGCTTCATAGAAGCTTTATAGACACTGATTTGATTTTATAGGTGTTTTTAATTGATTTTTTGGATTAGAAACATCGTCAATAAGTTTGTCATGTGCCACACATGTTATTAGCTTGAAGACCAAGCTAACTATGTGGCCCACACATAGAAAAACTTGCCTTGTAAGTCAAGGTATGTGTCCTACAAAGTCAATACATATTGGAGGTCCTATAGAATATCGCCATGTAGCCCCTAATTAGATAGTATATATAGAGACAAGAGTGAAGCCTTCTTCACTCTTGTGAACTCCTTTCTTACTTTTAGTCTAGTTTTAAGGGTCTCTAGTTTTCTTGGCTTTTGGCAATAGCCATTACAGTTTCTTTTTTAATATACATATGAAGTTATTTCTATTTTGTCATCTTTCTTTGAAAGAAGTCTCACTTGTTTATTTTTTTTTATCATATTCTTGTCCTTGACAATATTCTTCTTTGATAGCATTTTTCTATTTTAACTAGTTAGAGTGATACATCATTTTTTGGATGGTTTGAGGTTCAAGATCTTCTTTTTTGTAAGAAAGAACTTCTTCAATCATGAATGTAAATTATTCATCTATTATAATAGATGGTCTATCCCAAATGTCATTTATAGCACAATATAGAATAGATAATTTTGTACTTAACTTGGATTTATTCCTCTTAATTTCAAGATTTTCTATTACATGAGGTGAAGTTATAATGTTCATGGACATATTGCCATTAATTGATGGGCTTGTAGATTTAGTAGGAACTTCTACAAAAACAATATCAGAATCACTACATATTATAACTTTCTTCTTTTATGCTTGCTTATTTGGTCCATGAGGACTTTTAATTACTGATATTTTAACTTGAAGCATATTTGTTAGTGGCATTGGAATCTTAGCGGATTTATTCTAAGCCTCATTAATGGAATTCTTATAATCCAAGGCGCATCATTGAAGCAATTAGATATTTTATTTGTGATCTGTTTTAGATACAAAATCTTGACAATTATACTTTCAGCCATAGATTTTTTAGGATCAAGATTCATTATAAATTTTTTTGGTGCTCCAAATATAAGTACTATATTTCTTTTTTGATTAAGTACTCTTTCTTTAAGAGATGGAAATACAATCTCTTCAAAACGACAATTTTAAAAATGTGCATGTAATAATGTACTAATTGATGGATCAATTCTATGAATAATGCTTGGTGAATCAAAACCAACATATATGCCTTCTTCTCAATGAGCTCCAATGGTATGTTATTGAGGTTCTTGTACTAGAATCCAAGCATGGCAACCAAATATCCATAAATAAGATATATTTGAAACATGACCTAAAATGAATTCTTGTAGTGTAATAATTTTAAGTGAAGAAGAATAAAGGCGTATTAATGCTGCAGCATGCAAAATTGCATGATTCCATACAAATACAAGTAAATTTATACAAAGAAGGAGTGGTTGGGTAATGAGATGTATATGCTTTATAAATAACTTTGTAAGTCCATTTTGAGCATGTTTGTATATAATAAAATATGTCAATTCAATCCTTGTTGCATTAACAAAGACCAAAAAATAATGAAATGGTCCAGATATTGGATTAATAGGACCACAAATATCACCGTGCAATCTTTCAAGCATTAGTAGTAACTCTTGTGGGAGTTTCCAAATTGAAAGTCAAACTATTGTCTTGCCTTGCATACATGCATGACATAATTCTATAGAATCTTCATATGCAAGTCTTAAATTATGTCCAATTATACATGAAATTATCTTTCAAAATAATATAGATCTTGGATGTTTCAATTATCTATGCTAGAAAGGAACGCAATTCTCTATGATAGATGATGCAAAATTAAATATAATAGGAGGCCGGATTGCAATTTGGTATAAACCATTTGTTGCAACAAAGACTTTTTCTACAACTTTGTAGTTTTGTTTAAGAACCAAAATCTCTTGCCTATCTAGAATTGCGGTTGAAAGGTCATAACCATTGACATGCATATCTTAGTATCTGATTAGATTCCAAGGTATTGAAGGTGCAAACATTGTATATTTATATTCTATGATAGAGCTCGTAGGCAATTTTACCATCGTTCTTCCTTCTTGGAAATAAAATGCATTTGTTCCAGCCAGTCATCAAATTTCTAATTTGCCAGATTAAAGATTTTTTTAATAAAAACTGACTATCCTCCAAGATAGTATGTATTATTAAAGAATCAATAAGCACATCATTTGACTCATCATTAGAGGTTTTTTCATTCATATAAGCCTCTAAATCAACAATATCAATTAAATCCATGGATACATCTATGGTATGAACTTCACGAGCCTTAGCTCAAAGTTTCTTATTTTCTTGGGATATTTTAATAAAGTATTTTGAAGTATGGCATGCATGTGCCAAATGTCCAATCATTTCACATTTATTGGAAGAATGCATCTTTGATTTTTTTTTTTTTTTTTTTTTTTTTTTTTGTTAATTTTTCTACTGTAATTAATTATAGAATGTTTATTGTTTCTATATGGGCAAAAATGGTCACAACCATGACTAACTTGGTACTTGTGAGTATTTTTTCTATGTTTGTATAATTGTTTCTTAGACTTTGGAATATTAAGTGAATGAGATTCTAGAACTGTGGTTCCGATAGGATGAGCTTCTATATTACATAAGAGAAGTTTTTTTTTTTTTTTTTTTTTTTTTTTTTTGTTTCTCCACAAGAAGTAGATAGGACATAACATCAAGATGACTTTGAAATTTCATGTTCCTATATTGTTGTGCAAAGACAATAGATGTGGGAAGAAATGTAGAGAGAATTTTTGCATTCATTTTTTCTTTAGAGATGTTTTGTCCACATAACCATATTTGTGAAATAATATGATATATTTTACTATTGAAAGCATTTAAATTTGGAAAATCCAAGATACATAAATGTGTCCAAATATGATAAGCACGTGGAAGAAAAATGGTCTTTTGATGATCAAACTTGGATTTAAGATTCTCTTAGAACTTGGCTGGATCTTCCATTTCAAAATATTGATGTTGTAATACATATATAAGATATCGACAAAAGAAAAGAAGTGCTTTCTAACAGATAGCAATAAGAACTGAAGTACTTATATTATGAGATTTTTCAAACAAAATTATATCCAAGAATTTTTTGTAAATAAATTTATTTTTTCTATTTTTGCCCATAATAGATAATCATTTCTATCAGCAGCTAATGGTCAAAATAGAAGAGCTTGAAAATATTGGAATGGAGAGGTGATAGTTCAAAACATAGTAGAAATAGTCGAGAATGTTGAAGCACTCATTATAAATAAATTTGTAAATAAAAATAAAAGATGAAGTAAAAAAAGGTTGAGTAAAATAAATCTTAAAATATAAAACAAATAAAATGATAAAGTTGAAACTTAAAATCAAAAATGTTAAAAATTTTATGGTTTTTTTTTTTTTTTTTTTTTTTTCTACAAAAATAAAGGTTTGTAGTGGAATACAATAGGATGTGGTAGATGGCAGCAAGGTGCAGTAGTTCAATATAGGATGTAGTAATTTTGCAGATGTGTGGTAATACAATAGCAAAGCAACAACACAAGATAGCAACAATAGCTATAGCAACTCAACACAACAACAATAGTAGCACAATAGTAGTAACATAAGACAACAAGAATAATATCACAACAATAGCAACAATATAAGATAGCAACAAAAGTAGCAACAAAAAGAGAAAAAAAAAATTGATGAGAAAATAAAAGATAAAGTGCACACAAGTTTTTAAGAAGCAAAACTAAGGCATAAGAATAATCATGCTGATAACGTGTTGAAAATGTTTTAGTGAAAGAGACAAGAATAGCTAGAAGTAATATACGCACACATGTAAAAACACACACACATATACATACAAGAAGAAGTTTATTGATAGGATTATCTCTCTTATACAAAGAGAAGGGGAGAAGATAAACAATTTTTCTCCACTACATTCGAAATATTATAGCTACAATATTTATTATAGACCATAGTAAATAGCATAGAGAGTGCTCACTACATTTAACATTATCAACAAAATAGAGTACATTTTTGTTGATATTTATATGTATGTATGTAAAGGTATGAGGCATTATTGAGGTATGAGTGCTAAAAAAATAACCAAAAGATAAATATCATAATATATTAAATAATTATATAAATAGATATATATATATATATATATATAGAAAAATGTTAAATGGATCCTTCTTTTACTAAATAGATTCACTCTTGATGAAGAATATGGTAATCATGATGAATGTGGTTGATTTTTATTGGTTGCAAATGCAATAGTGAAGAAATGAATTTAAAGGTCATTATTTTTTTTCATAATGGTTAGGATGGGTGGATAATTTTAGTAAAAACTTGGGTCTATTTAACATTCTCCTATACATATATATATATATATATATATATATAATCATTTGCTACCTTCTTTTTTTAATTTTTTTTATTGTGATTGATTTAAACTCTTAAAAACCTAACAATTGAATTTAATAATAAAATCACTGGTTTCTTCTTTTACAAGGGGTGAGAAGATTATAAATTTTAAAAAATTCAAATTAAATTTAAAATCCTTGTCCCAAATGTCAAGTCATCTCTATTATATTTTCTTTTGACTATTGGCAATTATAACTAAAGTAAAGCACACCAATGTTTTGCAAAAAATATTGCTTCAATCAGTATAATTATATTTAAACAGTAGTCACTTTTAGTATCTCAAAAATATATGTAGGTCAAATATATAAATAGTCACTTTGGATCTGAGAAACTGAGCCCTTCATCCCCAACAGCAAGTTCATACAACTTTGAAGAGAACGTTGTTTACTGTAAATGAAACAGAGTGAAGCAAATGAAGCATTTTTAGGTTTGTGAAACAGGCGACACATGAATCAAACCAGCTGCTATTCAAGTACTGTACAAGTTGCAATACCCACTAAATCCACAGTTTTCTGCAAACAGTCGCAATCTACAGCCGAAACAAATCTCACACATTTACAAATCGCTTCTCTTGTGAACTTACATTATCGAAATGGGTAATGTGGAAAAGTCTTCTGCATGAGAATCAGTAACTTCGGACAGTCACAGACTCAGTGACCATTGTTGCAACATTACAAGCTTTCATGCAAAGTCTGAGCTTGTCACTGAAATGCTCATGTTCAAGTCCCTCAGAGGCACATGGTGAAAGACTCCGGAACGGGACCTTGGAGATGATGGACTGCTACAACGAGGAGTTGGAGACTTTGCAAGTTTTCTGGTGTTGCTCGCCCCTCTTGTTGCAAACACCTTCTTCACTGCCGCGGCATCATTCGCACTCACACATAGGTTTTCCTTGTTGTGGGTGAAAGCATTCTCACTGTGAGTTGGACTGCCCTTTCTTCCTGGATCTTTTGAGATGGCTTTGTCCACTGAAATCGACCTTCCCCTGTCACTTCTGTTGCTTTGTGCTACTGCTTTTCGGCCTGCACTGAGTTTTGGACCTTCACTTGCTCGTGCCTGATGCACTCTGGAGCTCTCAGGACTCTGCCTCGAATTATCCGGTTTGCAAGTTTCTCTCGACGTTTGCTGACTTGAGTGTCGAGAAGGAAGGGTTGCATTTCCATTGGATCTGGATGGTTCTGAAATGTGATTCCATGGCGAACTCTGCCTCGTTGATGTGGATTGTTTAGCACAGCGTTTGGATTCGTCAGGGGCTGCAGTATTACCGTGTATCCGAGGTTGTTCGGGGGCCAAGTCCACTACCGACATCCAGCCACCTGCTTCGTTCAAGAGCATGTCGTTGCTTGATCCCTTCTATTGTGTCTCGAAGCTCTGTTAACTGCGCTTCCAGCTTCGTATTCTTCTGCTCTGCGGCTTGAGCTTTCACACGCCATTCTCCCCCCTGTCCATTTACAAGCAGCAGGGATTCAACTTACAGAAATGCATCCTACATAAACGCTCTAAATGAGTTACATCTACCTGTTCAAAGATGTTCTTGTCCGAACCACAGAATTGAAAAGGACTGTTTCATGACCAACGTTTTAAGGCATTGAAAGTCATTAAAATATTCATTTGAAAAAAAGTGTATGTTTCTGTCTTCTTGACAGTTACCTCGCGTTGCCTAACCTTGCGCATGCTTGCTGCACTGTAGTCATTTCCATGATCACATTTTTCAAAACTTCCTGTACCTGCTTCCATTGCTCTGCTTCAGCATTTATCTGCAAAATCGCCGCGGCGCGTTTTGTGATTCATAAAATTGCTCAACTTTTACAGACTAAGATGCAACAACTTCATTCGGTCGGGTTGCAAGAAAGTGATTGCTACAAACCTGAGTAAGAATCTCACGGACTGTCTTTGTGGTTTTTTTTTTTTTTTTTTTTTTTTTGTTTAGCGAGCTCCTCTTCGAAATTGTGGCTGTTCTCCTGTTGAAGTGGTAGGAACAATTGATATGAGTCTATCTACTGCGGCATCTGTCACGCGTGCTCTCCATTACGACGATACTAAATCCTGAAGAAAATAAAAAATACAATCTGTCTCTGTTACTACCATTTTCTTAAGACTTCGACCCCATTTCTCTGTCGACTGACCGCCTCTTTGGGCAATCGGTAAACTGCGTCACTCGCGTTTGCTGACAGTCGAAAATATCAAGCCGTATCTGCGCCTATCTTGTTTTCGACAGATAGCTGAAGTAAGATCGAAGTGGGATTTTAGATAATTGATTTGAGTCAACTCTAGCATCAAGGAAAGATTGGCAGAATAGTTGAATTTTAACAAACAGTTGGACGAAGGACCGAATGCAAGAGAAAACCTACAGATCTGATTTGTAAACTTACGTGATCACTTTTCTGTTTCTCAGAGCAATTTTCTTCTGTGGTGCTCAAATTCGAGCACTTGTTATGGCAACTTTTCGGGAACATATCAGTAATTTTCTGGAAAACTAACGCTGAGTTATCAAGATATTTGTGTGCACCATCGTTCATCGCTTTGCTGCGCATTGCCGAGCTAGATTTCAATATTCGTAGTCTCTCATCCAGACAATGATTATGTCCTTCATTCGAAACTCGTCTACGAGGGGTGCTAGGAGCTGAAATTGCTCGTGGTCTTCTTTCCTGCGTCGTATTAAGAAGACAAATGAGAAATCAGGTGTTTGTGGAACAGATAAGCTTCGCAGGATGAAGGCATAACCTTTCATAGTACACGCACTGGGGAAGAGAAGGAAAGCGTTCCTACTTACCACCACTCCGATGCAACACATACTCATGGATATTCATCGAAGACGCCGAAGAGAATTGGGTGTACATGGCATTGAATACATGCAAAAATTATGTCTGAAGTCTGCTTACATTGTCGAGAATAGACTCTACAGCAACTCGAAGGGAACGCGCCATTTGGGCGCTCTTTCTACCCATGTCTGTGCATCTTTCTACCCATTGCTGTTTAGCAACCTCTTTCTGCATTCTCAATACTTCGCATTTTGCCTTCAAGACTGCTGTTTGCTTAACCCAGCCTGCATTCGTCCCTTTGAGACCAGGCCTATCCTCTGTACACACAACGCCTGATACCTTTGAGCCGTTGCTGTCTTTGGGGAAAATTGGCGAGGTAATTAGCGAGGCCTGCTGGGTGTAGAGGAACGCCTGAATTTCTGTTTCGAGATGCGCAGCGTCCAGGCTGAAGTTGCATTCTTCCTCGTCCGTGGAGAAGACTTTGTGGGGATCATCCTCGCCAATATTCACAGCGTCGGAGAGCTCGTCCACAGGAACCCATGAGGACATACCAGAACTGATGTGGTCAAGCCTATCTGCCGACTCCTGACCACGAATACGCATCGGTATCGAGGATATCATAAACCCCCTACGAATTTGACTTTACTGCCGTGACCACCTTCGTAATGAAGCTCCGCTGGCAACTCGAACAAATTGTAAACTGTAACTGAAGCATGTTTTCAGGGTCGTCCGTGCAACTCTTCAACTTATTCCACCGTGCTTAACTAGATACTTCGTAGATCGATTGGGAGCCAGAAAATTAAATGCTGCTGGTCGATTAATATCCCCCGAGACACGAGAAATTATTTCCACGCACAATCTCGTACGGCGTCTTCTGTAAAAGTGGTCACCATTCCAAATCCTCCAGATCAATCCCACAATGAGGTCAAAGAAACAATACTAGTCTATTCTGATGATGCAGAATTTTAAGCAGGCTCTCACAGTCAAAGGTATTTAGAGTAAGACAGAATAAATATATATATATATATATATATATATATGTATGTATATATATGACACGACAAGCTAGTGGCCAGCCGCAATGATCTTAGCAACTCATTCTAGAATGTGAGACTTCATGAAAATTCCACTCTAACCATCCTGAACACCCATGGTCAACATCGTCATGTACAGCAGTGGGTCTCATCTGGCTATCACACTCCGTCAGGTCTGGAAAATGACATGGATCCTGATTGACTATAACTTTCAGGTTATAATCTCTTAAATGGCGATTAAACCATGATTCTCGAGAACCTCTATGAGGAAGTCTACGGAGGAAAGATTTTTTACTCGAATCAATCTGGACTTTGCACACGCTGTCCCAGAAGAAATCGCCCTTGTTGTCAAAGTGCGCATCGAATTATCTTGTGCATCCAGACCAACTGTTAGAGTTTGTAATTACGGATGTTGTCAAGCTATAGACGTATCTACATCCAGACCAACTGTTAGAGTTTGTAATTACGGATGTTGTCAAGCTATAGACGTATCTACACCCAGCTACGGCAGGCTACGTGTGAGTTGACATCCATGTGTGAAAGTGAGGCACATCTAATCGTCAAAATTTGCACGCGGTTCTTGATTGCAGGCTAAAACTTCCAAAATATAAAGAGGAAGACCCAACCAGCTGGATCAATTGCGATGGAAGTGAGGAGAGGAGAAGAGACTTGAGCATTTCATTTTGCACGATTAAGTCACACGCACAGAAGCTAATGTCTAGCGGAAGGACCAACACAACATTCTTAAGGCACTTCAGTAGCAAACAAGCAACTCAAATTCTAGATAAACTTGAGGCAATGAAGCATGAGTTGAAGGTTTCGACAAGGCACAACAAGAGAACGTTTATTAGGATCAGGAAGTGCACGCAATAACTCTCGGGGATACCTAAGTGACTGCAGAGTAACGCAAACCAAACTTCGAAGCAGGAAAAGAAGAGCACATTTCGGTCGTCATGACTCAGTCGACGCTAAAAAGTAAACGACTCCTATCAATGCAGCAAGCTTCTCCATCTTCTAAACAACACTACCGACCCGCAGAAGTGACTTGATGGCGGTCGACATGGCTTACACCCACTTCGGTATTCAGCATCCAGATTCTTACAGTCTTTTTTTAGACAACATTTTCACACAAGCTCATCCACTCTGCCATGGAGCAGCTTCAGACCAATGGACAGTACCACCCTTTTACGACAGTCATGTCTGCTTTCTCAACGTTCCGAAATACAACAACTGCAACCAGAGAATCTTCTTCCTCGGGGCTGAATCCCCAATTCTGCAATCACCGCCGATACTGAGACGCCACCCAACAGTGCAAAGTTGGCAAGAACCATACCAAAAGCCTGCGACAGGAGAAGTGGCCCGAAGAGTGTGGGATCACAGAGAGCCGAATCTGAATTGAACAAGATGTCGAGGAGGAAAAATACAGCTTCGCGATTGAGGCACCGTCGAGCTTCGAAGAGAGTGAGGAATTCGGTGGCGGCTGTTCGACAGGAGCCTGTCGGTGGCAAGAGCTCCACGGGTCAATGCGCATTCAGTTCACCGGCAGGGCCGATTCTCGTATACCAAACTAAACTACAAAAAGAAAATAAAAACACACCCACCACATCAAATAAAAGTCTAACTTAGGAGCTTTTGTCACAGTATCATCTACTATGCAATGTGTAAATAATATGAAATGAAAAAATGACAAACAATTCTAATGATAATAATAGACGTCGAGAGGTTGAGACAGATGTGTTGTCAACCTCGCAAAGACCCAATTGTTGGACTGGTTCGGGCTCACGCTTCGATGCCACACAACACGATGTCCTCCATCACCAAAGATAAGACCCCCAGTACACAATTCAAACTTCCGTTTTGTGTGCATCGGAATGTGTGTGGGTGTGTCTGTGAGCACCATCCCACTTTCCCAAGGACCAATGACGGGTCTCGTAAACGTCAAGAGCACATCGGAAGCAGTGGACTTCGCTCACCTTTTCGCCGCGATCCCCGAACCACAACCCACTAATCCACGACTCGACCTTGTTGGACATGCAATGCTACAAAGGGATCTGATTCAAGCAGGATCAATAAACAAAACAAAACAAAAACTGGTAGCGCTTCATTTTCTTCGCATCCAGTTTCGAGGTCAAGGTAGCGGTCAGAATTGCTACAGTTCCCTGATCAGTGCCGAATGCTGCACTCTCCGCTTTTGGGTACAGCTCGGTGGAGAGACACAACTCGTAAGTAATGTTGACACGATTTGGGGGGGTTTTGTTCGTGGACGAGCAGATCCCCTCGTAGAGTAACAAAATAAGAGGCATAATGGAGCTTATTTCTTCATCTTGAACTCAATGGAACATCCAACAATACTACCAACCAAGTGTTTAATTTAAAATAGGAAAGAACTTTGCTACCCTACTTAGCTTCAAGGAGGACAAAAACATTTAGTACAATAGTCTATCCTCTATCCACATTGATACATGTATTTTGATGCATCCCTAATGTTATTCTTAATACATGTATTTTGATGCATCCCTAATGTTATTCTTAATACTTCATGTTATAATACGATCAATGTATTTATAGCTATAATCTTCATGTTATTTAGTTAAACATCTATTATTAGAAATATTTTTGACAAATCAATAGCTACAAAAAAATTGTATTATATCAAATGTATAAAAAAAAATTAATAGTATATGATTTTTATTTTGTTTATATAATTTATATATAATTTATTGCATTAATTTGATCTATTTGAGAATTTTATTTTATTTATTGCAATAAGAAGAAAAGAAACAATATATATATATATATATATATATATGTGTGTGTGGTAATCAAGCAAATTAATTTAGAAAAATCTAGTAATAAGGTAAAAAAATTGGCAAAAAATTTATAGATATCATTAATAATTTATTAGATAAATTAAGCTTTAGATTAGAATAAAAAAATTACACTAGCTTTGTTGACTTTCTTAAGTGTGTAATATATTTATAAGAATCTAACATAATAGCAAATTTAGTAAATTAAGCAATGAATATCCACAAACATTACAACTATAATAGACTAATCCCTATCTTTGACTTATATTGTAATAGGATATAGATAAGATAATTATATAGATAACTAGAACCATGGAAGTTTCTCGAATTGAGGTTAGGTTAATGAATTAAGTAGGATCCATTATAGAACATTTTAGAGAAGATTTAGGGCAGTTACTTAAATGGGATCCACCATAGAATCTTCTAGAAAAAGAATTTAAGGCAGTTATCTAGATGGGACCTACTACCTACAAACATTCTAGAAAATCTAAGGTGATAAGACAAGGTATAAATAGGAATGGCCAAGGCCTTTTGGAGCATCTGGTTAGTTATGGCTTTGGACTCTTTCTCTTAGTAAAGTTTGGTTCAGCATCTTTCTATTCAGATCTATTTTGTTTTGTTTTTGTTTGCTTAGTTTTGTCTTTCATGTCTTATTTTGTTTAGTTCTGTTCAATTTGTTTTGGTATGTTTTGTCATATTTTGTAATAAGGCCTTATGTTGTTGTGGATTAGAAGGATCTTGGGTTTGTGAGATAGTCTAATCTTGTTTCATATATAATTTAGTACTGTTCTATTCAAACTAAATTTTCTCCTTTCCTTGTCATTTTCATCCTTGCTTTTTAAAAATTATAATAGTTGATTCATTTTTAAACTAATAAATATATCAATCCATACAACTTTTAGATTTATTAAAATCAAACTTCAACTTAGTACAAAATACATAAGAATATATAATAATCTAGTATAAAAGGTTCTCTTCTATTAAATTATGTATATACACTTTTATTTAATTTTTATTAAAAAATAAATATTTTATTTGATTCTTGCTAAATTTATATCATTATGAATTGAAAGTAAAGAATCTTGTATTGCAATCTAATACGACTTTCCTAGAGTCTCTATAAAAAATTTTAACAACAACAACAACAAATTTTGTTATTTCTTAATAATCTTTTAAATTGCTGATATTCTTCTACAATCATAATATTTCTTATATAGCTATATTTCTATTTTTATCAAAATTCTTTTACAATCCTATCAACTATGTCTAAAAAATTTATTTCTATAATTATTAGGTCACAATTCTTTTACAGCTATTTTGTTTTCATTTTTTTTCCTTCCATCTCCTTTAATTCTTTTTTAATTATTTTTTTGAAAATTTCTTTATATTTTTTTGTATCTAAACACTAATATCTTAAAATGTACCATGTTATTGATACCTTCATTCAAATATAAATCTCAATTTGAGTAATTGGACCAATTAAATTAATTATAGTTACCTAATCCAATTGAATCAACTTAATTGACTTGCTTAATTCAATCAAATTAGTTACTTATTAAGTTTATTGAGTAAATCTTCATTTTAATGTTATCTCCTTTCTAAAAAAAGTTTTATCCTGAAAACTTTCATGATAGAAAATATTATTTTCTTACTTGGCTTTCTTGGTTTACTCACCTTTATTATTTTACTACCATTGCATCTTTTGATGTAATTCATTATTTGACTTTTAAATTGGTGCTGAAAAAATATATAGTATTTTAATGTTCTTAAATCATTTCATGAAGATTTGTTTAGCAATAATCAAATATGTATTAGATGCAATAATGTATTAGGTAAGATCTTATTTTTGTAGATTAGATAAGTCTTGATCTATTCTTCTCATCTAGTAGGAGGAATTGACCTTGAGAGCTTTGAATTTAGTGCAAAGTTTAAAATATTCTATTAATTTTCTATTCACTTTATAGATATAATACACATGTATTTTAATGCAATTTTGTTCCTATTACTAAGTCTCATATTTTATATTCTACCACAAAAATATGTTTATTAACTTATATTTTTTTCCTTGTCCAAATTGACATCTTTTTATTTCTAGTCTTTTTCTAAACTTTAGACTTTATTGTGGTCATCTAACTAAATTTCTTCTATAAGTTAAAAAAATTCTTTGATTTAATTTCTAGATTATTCTTTGTAGAATAATTCTCCAACTTATTTAAAATAATTCTATATTTTAAAGAAATGCTTTCTTTTAGTGACTACATCCTTATTTTATTTGGTGAGATATTGATCTAAGTGTATTTAAGTGTCATTAGAATTCTTTAAGGCCTCTATATACATCTTCATCTTATCTTTGCACTTTTAAAATTAATCTTTGATTTTTTCACTTTTGCATATAAAGTTGAATATGTCTAGTATTCCTTCCTTATAATGAATCTATTTAATATTGTAAAGTACATATCTATTTTTCTAAAATTATTTCTTTATTTATTTTTATATAAATCTCTTAGAGTTGAGTTTTCTTTTTATTAGACTCTTTAAGCTTAAAGTCAAAATTATTCTTATTATATATTATAATGCCTTTGTAGTCTTTGTAGAAACTATATTCCATATTTTTCCATAGCCATTAAGTGGGATTAAATAATGCACTTGTCAAACCTCCATGAAGTTAATGCTCCTTCTTCATAAACTATTGTTAATAATACTTCTTTATTCTCTAATATATTAACCTTCATCTTACTATTTCTTCATGTTTGTAAAAATGAAGAAAAAAAAAATCACAATTGTGTCATACTCAATTGCTACAATAGTTTTGACTAGCATTTTATTGATATAAGTTGATTTTTTTCTTGAAGAGCATCATCTCCATTATTTGCAGTGTGCATGGTTTTGCACAATTATTGTCCTTGATGCTTTTAATACCTCAACTTTGAAAATACACTTGAGGGGGTTATTTACTAAAATAAAATTGTTTATAATTTTGAATTGGAATATTTTTTTTATTACCTTTTACACGAAAATATTTTCTTAACATAAAATCTATATATTTACAGAACATATTTTTAAGATTTTTTTTTATTCATATGGTATTTATAAATAAAAGTTATAAAAAAAAATAGCTACAATAAGTACTAAATGTTTTTGATAAAGAATAAAAATATTTCAGATTTAAAAAAATAATCATCATGCATTCCATGACTTATCTAAAAAAACAAAAGATTACTTAATACATAGCTAAGTAACGCAACCATCTCTATAATAAGAATTCATATCTTTTAGGATTATAATTAAGAATCCAATAATTACTTAACATTTCTATCTTTTTTATTAAAATTATAATTAAAAAATTACTTAAATAATAACTTACAAGATTGTAAAAACTCCAAACTAAAATTTTGTTAAATTAAATAGATTTTACTGTTTATTTATAATAGAGAAGAGAAATATTATCCTAATACATAGATATATTTGTATGAAAATAATTTGCAAAAATATATATATATATATATATATACGTAATTATTTTTAAATGATGCATGAAAAATGTTAAAATTCGATGATTTCTGTTTTAGATGTGAAATTGTTGAATGTTTCTTAAGGCAGTGGTGGAGAGTTAGTGAAGGCTTTAGTGACGGCTTTAGAATTAGTGAATACGTAGTTAAGACTTCGTAAAGACCTCGTGAAGACCGAGCGAAGACCTTAAACTTGGCGAAGATTTCTGACTCAAAACTGCTTGTTTGATCGCAGGTTGCTGTTGTGTTGTGTTGTGTCGGTGAACACATCTTTGAAACGACGCTGAAACGACGCGATGGTTGAGAGAGGTGAGTTACTTTCTCCCTTTCTGTGTCTTTTGACTTTCTCTTGATGCACCCCTGGTTTCAACCCAATTCCCTAACCGCATGAAAAATTTGAACTTGTAGAACGGAAAGATGGAAGACACAGTGTGAAATCCAGGGCGGAGGATGATACGACACAGGAAAGTTCTACGAGTAGAGCGAAACTATGGATCGAGGAGCAACTGGTTGATTGCGTTTCGGTACAACTCTGGTTGCATCTCTAGTTCTTGCCCCCTCGCCAGATAATTCATAATGTGGCTCTTCGGTTGAATATTTGGCTTCCCCGGAGGACTGTGTGATTTGTACACTTTTCTTGAATCCATGGTAATATCTTTGATGAATGAGGATTACGATTAGTTCCGTGTTCTTGATGTCTCATGGTGAAATTAGGTTTCCCTTGAATAGTTTTCAGCTGAACGTGACTGTCTTAAAATGTGTGTGTTTGTTTCCAGGGTCTGTTTTGACCTACGATTAATCTGTATCCATCCTATTTCTGGTCTGATTTTGTGTCCAATGTGGCAAACGGTGCCTCTGGCTCCTGCAGTCTCCATCTTGGTTAATGTAATTGGATTTTGAGGCAAATGAATTCCTGGTTCACTCAAGAGCTTTTCCCAGAGTGTTTTGAATTATGCAGTGGGTCAATGTCAAATTGAATGCGTACAAGAGCGAAGGATGAAGGATGTGCAACTCCTCAACCAGGTTAACACGACAGACCCTGTGCAATTGGTTGCAGCATCAGATCGTATGGTATATTCAGTGTCTCAATTAAAGTTCCTTGTGAGATACTTTCAGATCGTGTGCTTATCGTTACAATTTTAAGTAGAAAAATTACACAAGTGACTCGAACAAATAAGCTCATGAGTCTGCATGCATCTGTGGCAGTAATAATGCAGCCTTAATTTCACGCTTTATAATATGTTCAAGTCTTGATATGCTTACATACTGCCCAGTTACTCTAGTCTCTTGCATCATGCATTTTAATGATCTTAGATGAGACTTCCACTTCGACCACAAACAGTACTTCTTTAACATAAAAATGACGCAAATTGACACTGTAAGTAAACGTTCAATTTTCAAGTCTCCTGATTGGCAGAGTTGGATTACCATTGAGTTCACCCCTTGCAAGGGTGTCATGGTTATACCCTGAATCAGATTGTAATTGAGAGGACTAACTCACATGCTGCTTTGTTAGCTTCAAACCCAGGCAGATGATTTAACCAACTGTATGTTATGAAGTCCAAGCAGTGGCAGACTGTTAGACAGAAGCCTTTCGCAAACCTCTACTTGACCAAGATTATTAACCTTTGAAAAGAGTGGTGATTATAGGTCTAAATTGACAAGAATTAGAGAAACCGCCTAGTTTATGTATCTTTATGAGCAGGTTGGTCAAACGAGATTCTTAGGCAAAACCCTTTTTGCTCTGAGACAATGAGTGTCAAAGGAACTCCTCAATGACATAACGAATTGCAGCCACTCAAATATAAAATGTCAAGCACGTGGCCTCCACCTTGGTGTGCAGCACTGAACCTGCATAAGAATCTGATGATTGAATAAGTCATGAAGGGTAGTCTTCTTTTAGCTGATTTTTTTTTTATATTGAGCTGACTATGAGCTGTCGGCAAGAAAGTAGCTATTGCATGATCACGGTGAAAAAAAAGTGTTTGGAAGATGAGAGGAATATAAGTAAACATATACCCATGAAAAAGAATACGCAGATCGTCAATCTTCTTGACAGGAAGGAACTTTGGTTATTCCCGCCTTTTCTCATTATGAAGATACAAAATTTACCAGATTGATGATACTGGTGGTTTCGTATTGCAGGTTCGATGGGTTCTTCCTTTCTATGCTGGCCACTAGCGTGTATCCTCTTCATAATTTCAATTTTTTTCTCGTTATCTGAGTTGCTAAATGACCTAACATCAAAATTGCAATTGCGATGTCTGTTTCTTCACTGAAATTTTATTGAACTCATACTAGCTTAGAGTTATGCAAGATTTAAGTATTCTAAGAGTCACTCGTGTATGTGAACATCTTTTTTCTGGTGGCGTATTGTTAATTTCTTCTTGGAATTTTAAAACTTCTTTTTTTATTTGTCCCATTAGAATAGACCTCTGATTCGATCAAAATGACATCGGAGAAATTGGGTGTTTCATGACTTGGAAACATTTGGCAGCTCACAACTGTTCATACATCAATATGTGTAGTCTTTAACTTGAGTAGAGCAGGATTGTTGTACTCGTGAATTGGCAGCGATATCTGTTGTGTAGGCGCCCTCTGCACATATGGATAGTGGTATGCTTTCATCATAATTGCTTCTTTCTATGAAGTGCCTTCTTAAAAAAACTAATATTTTCTGTTTCTTCATCTTGAGATCTTGTCCATGCAATTGTCTTTATTCTGGTATTTGAGAGATGAGATGCATTTGCAAAAGATAGTTTTCACAGAACATGATCTGTATGTTCCAAGGCTTGCTTACCCTAGTATATATAGCATGCATCTAGATAGATCTCAACATGAACTGTGCAGGTCGACTATGCAACAGTGTTCTTGTTCCGGATTCTCATGTTCATAGACAGCGGATTAGCATCAGGAATGGGACCGTAAGTATTTAATTTATGTTTTTCGTTCAATTTGGTTCTAGAGACGCTTCCCATATTAAAGGATCTGTCAATGTGCAGTTAATTACTTTTTCCGTTCAAAATTTTGCATCTTGTTACAACATTCCCGCTGCTGAGTTTATGGTGGACTTTCGGATTTCGTCTCTCAAGTCAGTTGTAAATTCCCCGCCAATCACAGACGCTTGCGTTACACTACCTTCAGTAGTTTTTAGTGATCTATGAGAGGATCAACAGTTCAAAATTTTCTTACAGAAGAATGATCAGAATACGAAACCATCACTCACATTCTGCTTCTGTTCCTTGCGCTTTTGCAGAGAGGCTACTCAAATGGAACGAATGTTACGGTTCAAGGGTCGTTTGTTTGTGCTCTCAGTGTTATCATTTGTATTTTACCCGTTCCTATGGATGTGGACGATTCTCGGAAGTCTCTGGTTCTCTGATACTCAAGGATGTGTAAAGCTCTTACCATCTTTGTGTGTATAAAAAGCCCTAAATTAAGTATTGAAAATCTCTCTAACTAGAGATTGAAGAATTAAAAAATTGTATGAGATTTTCGCAGTTGCCAGAGGAAGGGCAGAAATGGGGTTTTCTCATCTGGTTGGTTTTTAGCTACTGCGGATTGGTTTGCCTTGCCTGCATCACAGCTGGAAAAGTAAGCACTTCTGAAGAAATTCGATTTACCCGTTTTATCATCCTGAATATCATTATTGTAGCAATATAATTCTGTCAAAGTTTTACCGCTGCACAATCTCACTTCCAATAATGCGATACTTGGAACATCTCTTCTGAGGAATTCGTTTCTTCTCTGCCAGATCCAGTTCTTCCTTAGTACTCTCCCTTAGAACATTCATATATTGTAGTTTAACTTGGTTTCAAAATTTGCAAGATAAGATGATGACTTTGCTCATGAAATCTTGGAGAAAATGTATTACCGCTCTTTATGTTGACTAATAATAAACCTAAACTTGACGGCTGAATTATATTTGCAGTGGCTTCTGCATCGGCAGTCTCGTTTAGCTTCACCCCCAAATGGGCAGAGTGCTATATCAGAATTTCAGGTCGTGCTTGAACATGCTTCTTTTACTTGAGCTTTACATGCCAATACTCTCTTGACTGATGATTAGAAAATGTATAGTAAGACTCTTTATCGCTAGAATTTTCTGAAATCATCGAGATCCTGCTTATGTACCAAGTTTTACACCTAGCCAATGCGTCAATAATGACGCGTAATCTTTTGTTTGGAAAAACTTTCAGATGTTCTTAGAAATGATCCGTTTCCCAGAATGGACAAGTAGACACAGAACGAATGCAGTGATGATGAGAACCAATGACTTGGCAGTCTTCCCCCCAGGCTTCGTGTTTAGCCAAGGTCACAATGCCCACACACTTCAAGCCACTCAGGTAAAATGTAATGGAACTCATTAGAATCACTCTAGAATAGATTTGAGGCTTTTCTTAATGGCGTTTGTGGCTTCGCATCTCACTATCATCCGAGTCTCTTGTGCTGTTTTCCTACTTGCAGAGGGAAAGGGTGGAAAGAGCGATACAAGGATTACACAAGTTCTCTCTGTCAAGAGTCGCTGAAAACTGGACGCAATGCCCTATTTGCCTTGATGACTTCGACGTAGGCAACGAAGTGCGGACTCTTCCTTGCACCCACACCTTTCATGTAGCTTGTATAGACGCCTGGTTGAGACTGAATGTGAAGTGTCCCCACTGTCGTTCTTCAGTGTTTCCAGAGCTCGAGCTTGACCGTTCCAACATACCTGCACTACCTCGCCTTATTCCATCCCGTTCGAGACATTTTCCCAGCAATCATGCAAGTGATCTAAACCATGGGGCAGTTGTAGTTTCGATACCAAGATCCCAAACTGATAATCCAAGACCACAGGCACCCAGAAGTACTGGAGGTACAGGTGCCCACATTATGACCCTTGCCGACTTGGCTTCGAGTTCTGTTCGGCAAACTCCTCGCTAAAACGAATCTTGGACGTTGTGAAAGCATTATCACTGGCATAACTTCCATTTGTCGTCAATATAGCACGCAGTAAAACAATGCCGCCCAAATTTTGGAGATGAACTATTGTTGGCCGGCATAATTTAGAAAAGTGTTTTTTAAGAGTTGTAAGGCAAATTGTCTGCATTTGATCCTTCAGTGGTCTGAAAGAAGCTAACTCTCCTCCCAATTGAACAGATGTGTGAGGTATTTGACTTTACATTACTTCTTTTTTCTCATCGTCACATAAAGTTTGAGCAAGGAAAGCATCAAACTCAGGAAAAAAATAGGGGCTACAGAAAACTCTAATTAAAATCCTCATCTCCATGATCCACTGCGAGTGAGGAATGGGAGCTGACAATCCAGCCAATCCATGCTGCTGTCGGACTACTTGCATATCATAGTTAGAAAGTTCCAGCCTCAAGTGGTGCGTTTGAGAAACATCACCCACTTGATTGGCGAATGAGCCAGTCCAATCAACTTCACTTGCAGAAACATGTCCACCTTCGAATCAACATGTTTGATTTCCGTATCTTCGAAGTGAACATTGACGTCTTCGAGATGGGGAGCATGGGCGAGGATGTCCACCACTATCCAAATCCTGGGCATCGCCATGCTCACCAGCAACGAAACAGATCAAATCATCTGCAGATTATAACCTGGCACTTCTGCGAAGAGGAACGATGACGCTGGATTTCGCTGGAACACAGGATATGCAAACTGAAAATCCTCTCTTTATTTTCTCATTATCTTTCCTCGCAATAAGTCATCCCGCCTTGCATAAGCCCTATAGGATGAGTTCATAGTTTGAAAAGAACAGAAGGAACGAGTAACACGAACGCAAGAGATGGGATTTCAGTCAAGCACATCACCGTTCATGAAGACTGGGACTGTAAGTATGTTTAGAGAATGGCCAAGCCTTCATTTGACAAGGAAAGAGGTGACAAGATTCCGTCATTCCTATCCAACACCTAAACGATTGCGCAGGCCGTTATCCATTCAGTCTACTCCAGGTTACTCCGACCACTCCCCCAGAATCTTCATGGCAACCAGAACTCGTGGTACACTCGTGTAACTTGGCAGAGGTCGGGAGCGCGTTGCCAGCTTTGTATTGCCGTTCGGTACTACAGTTCCCGAAATCAATTCCAAATACTTGCACAGCAATTGGAAAAGCTTTTCACAACCCATGTCCTAGTAAAATTTTAAAGTGCTTCGAAAATATCTTGATGATCTCACAGGTCGCAACTGTGTGAAAAGAAAGAGTCACAAACATCTGTACACCAAACGATTCATATGTTGTAGATATAATCCTCCACAAATCATCTGGAGAAACGTAAAACTTTATAAAAGGATAGGATGGATATATATGGCAAATGAAAACCCCTGACGCTAATCGATTGGTTCATTGGCAATGATTTGTCAACCTGGCGTATGTAAACATGAATATGCACAAAGCCCTATATGCTACCGCCCGGCTCGAAGGGGAGAGCTAATATAGCACATTCGAAGTCAAGGTGTGACCAGAAGGCACAGCTATCTCCTTCGAGAGCGCAAGGCACAATAACCTCCATCTTCATACTTCATACCCTTAGGAGCAATAATATACTCCAGCATTGGGCACTTGTCTGTGGGCGATGTTAGAAGCACCTGTGCAGCACACAGCTGCAGTTCGTTGTCTGAACAGCCATATTAACCCGTGGCTCTTCTGGTGGAACAAGTCTCTAGGATGGAAATACTCTTGATGTGTGCGGGCACGTCAGCAAGAAGCCATGATTTTCGAAGACCTTCACTGTAAGTGAAACTTGGATTGATGCAATATTTCAAAGGCTACATGATGTTAAGGTGCTTCCCGAGTGCAGTCTTCATTACCTAAATCTCTTGCAAAGTCCACAAGCTCTACCGCGTTTTTGTTCATCGTTTTCTGAGGCAGTATTTTCCAAATGAAGCTAAATAATCTTTTCCGTTGTGGCTCGCCACTGCTGTTGACCCAGTCTGGTTCTGCATCCTTAAGAACAAGTCTCGCTCTTACTGTGTGGTCCTTTCCATGATTCTGCACATAGAAACAGCAGGAATCAGGCACTTCGACCTGCTCATACGTACTTTTCAGTCACCGGAACCCTGGGCTACAAGTGAATGCTCAGACAAGGACCTAATCACTGACAAACGCAATTTGGCGGAAATAACCTAGCTAGCATCACTATATTATGCTTGGCGGTAAGTGATACAACCAAAAAATCATAAAATTACTCTACAGACAAGTATTGTTGCAGCGGCTGAGCTTTTTCGCTAAAAATTTGGACGTATGAAAGTGAGTGATAAGGAGATAGATACCTCAATAAGCTTCAAATGATGCCTCCATTCGTTCTGGGGTAGCTTCTTATCTGAAGACCCATCCGGTCCTTCCCAATTGAAGACACCATCTAAGTTCTCAACTCCACGAAATGTGTCTGCCACAGGTTCCATTTCTGCTCCAACTTCGACGTTTAAGCTACTCTCCTCGACAAATCGACGAACATCAGTCATCTCAGGGGGATCGGGATCCGCATACACTCTAGTTTCAGGCTCCTGAAACCCGCTGCAGCACCACTTCGTTCCCATTCTGTGATTTAGGGTTTTGATGTCCTGAGGAGCGTGAACATTAATACTAATCTCGAGGCGCTCGTGCTGCTGCGACTCTCACGGATGGTATTGCGAAAACACTAAGTGCCAGTCAGAACATTTGATCACATAGGTTATATCGCAAACTGCAGGGGATGCAAATGAGGCCAGAGGGAAACAAGAAGGGCAGAGACGCGAGACAGAGAATCCAGAGCTGCTTGCTACACATCCCAATGAAAACACTCGGACGCCCAGCTCAACGACTCCGATCCACCAACACCTAGTACGCCTTCCTCCTCTTTCGCACCTTAGAAATCTCTACTGCTACTCCAAAGCCTAGGAAAAATTCACCAAAATACCAATACCCTTAAATCTCCACAACCCCAGAGCCTAAAATTTACTCTTCCGTCCTCTGCACTCTCACACTTAAGACTCTGTCAACGACACCTATTTCCAGAGATACGATGGAGCCACCCACCCACCCACCCACACTTCTTCACAATACGCTTGCCGACTGCCCTTGCTCCAACCTGAACCAGAACACATGCATCACACACTTTCCATCACGGTAAAAATAGCCCGCCCCCCTCATCGACACCTCTTCTGTTTCCTTCCCTCGTCCCACCCACACCAACCAAACCAAACTAACGTTTCGGTCTCTGCTTCTACCCATCTACTAAACCAAACTCACTTGGTCACAGGAAATCCACACCTCACCATCCGAAGCAATGTGGTGGTCATCACTATCAAAGCTCGATGACAACACTACCGGCCTGATAAAACCCACCTTGACCAACTCAAAAGAGTCCAGAAAATGACAACCTAATGCTACAGCAGCAGCATCGGTAATAACAGCAGGCAGAAAAAGAATAGCAACACAGTCCAGTTGATGAGGATTGATGCTTGGTAACGTAATTCCTCACTCCCTCCCTCTGTCCCGCCTCGTGGGTGGGTGCCTTTCTTTCCTTCCACACAACGATGCCAGGAGGAGACGGAATTACCATTATCCCGCTACGCTCCACCGCGATCTCGATGTTGCCGTTGCCCAGTGATGGAGTGGCGACGAAGCAGCAGGAGACGGGAATTGACTCCAACTACCCACCACTATTTGTTTGCTGTTTATGTTTCGTTATTTTATTCTTTTTCTTCTTCTTTTTTATGCTTTTGGTGTGTTTTTTCTTGCCCATGAGAGCATCTCCGCATCATCACTGCCAAGTAAAATCTGGTCCAACTTCTTTGTGGGTGGTGGTGGTGGTGCACACGCCGATGTTTTCCTGTCGTGTTCAATATTTGTTACTCTATCTCTCTCTCAGATTCGACTACTTATTTAACCATGAATGATTTCAGATTCCTCTCAATCTGTTGTCTCTTTCTCTCAATCTCTCAATCTGTTCTCTCTTTCTCTCAATCTCTCAATCTGTTGTCTCTCTGATAATATTTCCTTCTTTTTTTTTTTCTTTTTTTTTTTGCTCCTACTTTTGATGATGGTTGCAGCTTCAATCATCGAGAATTATTTTTGAGTAATGGCCAGAGGTAACAACGACAACAACTGGGCACAGACTCTCTCTTTCTCTTCATTGCTAATTAATAACTTGGTGTCAGTCTAACTTGGTATCCTGGATTTCAGGGAACATTCCTCTCTCTCTCTCTCGCTTTGTCTATGTCTGCTTTTTCACTTGGTGGAGATTTATCCATCCTTTCATTCATGTTTAAAGGAATGCATGCTGCTTTTGGTATGCATATATATGAATTGTAATCTTGAATACCATATTTACATCTCTCCATACTAGATATGAATAAGTATTGCGATTTACAACTAAGTAGTTTATTTTACATTTTGAAGATATTTTTAGGTTTTAAATAATATTTTTTTATCTTTATCTATGTAAAAGTTGCTAAATTGTAAGTGTCTGTGTGCAACAGAAAGCGTGTATTCCTTGTCCTTTTCTTTTACATGATACAAAACCAATTCCTTTCTTTAAAAATTTATTATTGATTTGTGTATAAAACAAACATTTGAATTAACATACAGTAAATTTTAATATCTTTAAATAAACATATAACCTAAAAATGTTGATGGAAATCAAACAATGTTAAGTTATAAAAAAGTGTAAGAAAAATATATAACCTTATATGTATGTATATATATATATATATCCAATTGTTCTATATCTTTGAAGAATATAGTTAAATGGATTTCAGAAGTTACTAGAATTATACTAGAATCAAAGTAACCTTCCTTACAAGATGTGGTTTAGAAATGATAACATAAGAATTCAGAATATTCATGTCGAAGCCAAAAAATGAAATTTCGAACTATTATCTTTGTACCTAAAAGTAAAATAAAAGTAATTATTTAAATATTTTACAATATACTCCCCCACCACAACTGGTTGTCTCCCTCTAATAGCTTTATGTATGTTAAATTTCTACCTAGTTACTGTGATTTATTATAGTATATAACAAAACAAGAACTTATAATTATTGAATCCAAGTCCACATATTTAAATACTTAGGACGTAATTTAAAACAAATTATGTGCTAATTACAATAGTCATAGTAGACCCCACTCAATCTCTTGTTCTGGCAACATTACTTAAGAACTCTAGTTACAGAATTATCAATTGAAAAGTAAAAGAAAAAGTCAAGCAAGGTAAAGACTTGATTCATTCCTTTACAAATTAATTGGTATTTATCCATATGCTGTTTCTCACTCACATGAAACCAACACTTCTCAGCTTTCTAGATATTATTAACTCGTGAACAGCTAGACTAAGACTCGAAATTGTTCACACGTGAACGACATTGAAAATGGGCATCATCGGCAATCATCGAAGGAACATTTATTATTGACGAGAGTTGTACACGTAGTTTTAATGCTAACATTTTCTTTACAACGGTGAAGACAGATGAAACCATAACGCCGTTAACCATTCACGAATGTTCTCTGACGTTTTCCACTCTAACTGTGCTGAATACAAAGATTATAATGTCACACGATTAGTTCACGAAAGAACCATATGGTAACGACACCAATGAAAGAGTAAGTTAAGTCTTAGCATCAAAAGATCATAGAGAATTCGCAACAGAACTTTCGTTGTTATGAGATAGAATCAGCATACTGAACATATCACATGTTTCACCAAACTCATCTTCGCTGCATTTCAAAGAAGCAGCAGACACAACATGCAGGAAATTCCTTGACATAATCGCTCAACATGGAGAAAACCAAGATTTTCAATGCATTTGGCTGCAGATGAGGAGAATTCCAACCTATCCAAGGTAAAGTCAAAGAACTGGTGTCACCTGCGACTCATTGCATGCACTATAGCCTAATAAAGATAAAGGAACAATGTTAACTTGCTCAGAATTAAAAGTTCAGTCCTAAAAGTACAAACTAAAGGACTTCATCGAAAGAGGCCATAGGGCATGAATGAGCTAAGTTACAATCAGCCAGAAGCATCTAGCAGTGTAATGTCAGTAACAACAGTGAGAAAAGCACAAAAGCACGAATACAATGTCCTCTGCCGCCTCATTGTCCACTGTTTCTCAACGTGGCATTAGCAGGTCTCATATGTTCACAAGGTACACCTCCCTTAAAAGCTGTATCATCCTTTTTCAGGAATCAATTCTAATCAAAGTCGAGCTCAAGCGACTCATCTTGCTTTGAGATGAGCGCAAAGATATAGGGTGTTGCCCGGATAGCACATATCCACAGGCCAAGGTAAGTGAGATGCTTTTTGAGCGTCTTGTGGGCCTCAGCCTTGTCTGGCCTTCGTGGTATACCTCCGAGAAACATGACTACTTCTTTTGGAACAACTTCCTTCTGCACGACACAAAACTGCATCAGAATGCTAAATTTCAAGCAAACCCAGCTTCTTAAAACGGACTTTACATAGGAGTACGGACGACAGGACAGAATGTGCTATCGCACCCTGTGAACATTACAATTTAAAAAGAATTCAAAGGAAAAATACATATAAGACATCTTTAAATTGACAGACTTCTACTTGAACGTTGTGTGCATGGACCAAGAATAGACATCCTTTCTCTCCTAACGCATTATTGCAGTGAACGAGATTTCGCCCCATTGCGTCTCGGGAATGAACCACAATAATAAAGCAGATCCAAATTCATCTCGGGCTCAGGTCAAGAAGCTCAAACTCGACCAAGTTCTGCATCCCTCATTCCTTCAGCCATGAACCCCATCACGTTGCAGAGCTGCAACTAGGATTAACACTAAGAATTCTCAACTAAGTGCTAGTGACCACCAATCAGAAAACTACAACCAAACCTGATATCCTAAAGCCTCACCATACATCCATGACACGACACAATCACCACTGCACAAAATAATCCCAAACGATCGCAGAAGCGTTCCAAAGTCTTCCAAAAATGCTAATCAAATTAAGATTGGCGATTAAACATCGACCTAAAACAGAGATATACCCTATCATTGTCAGAATCTTAAACCCCACACCACAGAGATCGAAAACGACAATACATCACTACTTGATGTACTCTAAACCAGTTTCCTGATGTTGCTCTCGACAGTATTCCTGGGCCATGTGCTACAACTGAGTGGCCCTATACAAGAAAAACACTGACAAAATCGAACTCATACAACAAAATCCAAAAACCAGAAACGAAACTTCGAGATGACTATATTATCATGCTCAAACGAAGCGCTGAATTCCACTGAACAGTAACTAAAGAAGAGGAAGCGCGAGTCGTACCGAGCAGATGGATTGCCGCACAGCGTGTCACCGGATCACCAAAACCAACTTGCAAATCGGGGTCGAACGGAGCGGACCGAATTCATGAACAGAAAGGTCGATGGGACCTGTCCAAACCCTAAAGCCAATTCAACCTAATTTCAGCGGCTTTGGGTTTTCACTCTCACCGTGCGACGCTCGGTACCCGTGGTCAAGATGAATGAAGACATCCATGGTGGAATAAGGCATCTAAACTCGTGGTTGCTGCGCTGGACAATCATATCGATCATCATCCATCGTTCATGCCCTTATTCTAGATTGGAATGAGTATATTGTTAATCAGACAAAACTGTGTTGTATATATGCCACATTGTACAAGTTAAACACATAAACTAACATAATAGATTAGTAGCATATATAATATATTATTTTGTGTCATTATGTATTATATATATATATATATATATATTTATCTAGATTAGAAAAATAAGTAGAAGTAAGTAAATATGATAATATCTTATGGATTAGCTTCTTAGAAATGTAGATTTGACTTTATATAAGTTTATAGATGATAGATAGGTTGAAATTCAATCAATTTGACTTGTAGATTTGTTAAAGTCATTTGCTATAAAGATGGAAGGAAAAATTATAGATGCTATACTTGGCAAAAGTAAAAATAGATTTGCAACCATTGTAGATCTTCACAAGCTTATCAACTCTCATAGGATGGAAATTTCACATATTACTAATATCAATTATAAAAGTATTATTTATATGCATATGAAAAAATCAACAATGAGATTGAATGTCTATAGTAAGAAGTTGTATAATTGAGAAAAGAAAATATATTAATCTTACGATTGAATTCAAAGTATCTTGTTATTATAAATATAAACAATGCTGTCATATTATGTATGTTCTTGCTTGAGAATGCACCATGTACCTAGGTATAGAAGGTAACTAGAAATGCAAGAACAATCCTATCAAGTCTAATAGAATCTTAAATAACCTTAAATAGACTTTAATAATCTTGATTAAACTTTGACCAATCTAAAATAAATTTAAAAGAAGTTATGAAAGAAATACAAAGAAGTCCCAAAATAATCTCAAAGAAAAAAAATAAAATCTTAAAGAAATATAAAAATAAACCTTTAAAGAAATAATAATAATCTTAAAGAAAACTAAAAATAAAAATCTTTAAAGAAACAATAAAAAATCCTTAAAAAATATTAAAATAAAAATCTTAATATAGTTCTAATTAAAATGTTAATTGAATCTTAATCAAATCCTAGGTCAATCCTTAGATCAAATTCTAATTGAAACCTTAATTGAACCTTAATCAAATTCTAATTCAAACTCTAATAAAATCCTAATGAAATCTTAAACTCTAAAAAAATTATAGATAAGTTCTAATCCAAATTCTAAGGAAATCTTAGACCAAATCTGAAACCAAACCCTAATCAAATCCTAGATCTTAAACAAACTCTCAATAAACCTTATAGTAAATGGAATCTTAATAGCTAATAATCAATCCATTGATATCAATTCAAAATTTGCATACTTTTTAATGTCTTAGTTAGAAACAAGCACAAAAAAGATGAAATCAATCGCACTTATCAATTGAGAGAAATGCAAGCTAATTCAATCAGGTTTTAAGCATCCTCCTACTCCAATTTGAATATTGAACTTTTAGTGCCAATATCTCATTCTTGAATTGTTGAATTACTCCCAAATTTTACCTAAAAATGCTAAAAATTGAGTCTAGTATTTACGAAAAAAAAAAAAAAAAAAAAAAAAATTACTTGAATTCAATTGATAGATTGCTAAAGATCTTAGAAATATTCACTGATCGTCAAACTCTACGTTTTGAGACCTCAATCCACAAAAACCTTCACACCCTTTGATCTAATTGTTTGATTGACTTCAAAATTTGCATACACATTTATAACTAACACATCAATGTATTAGCCAAAATTTACTTATTTACACACCATAAACTCAAGAAATCCTTAAATTTATAAACATATTTTTATTTTTCAAAATCTAAAGTGATTAAGAACATTATTAACTTTGAAAATCCTTCAAAAATTCAATATTGACTCAATTAATATAAAACCAATGCCTAAAAGATTTCTTCTTCAGTTTGCTCTCAAATTCCACTGTTTGATTTATCAAAGAACTCTCAAATCACTATAGATATACAATTTTGTACCTTGGGATCTGATTTCGACCAAGATTGATAGCCGGTCCTCTCCAAGTATCAATTCTTAGCTTCTTGAGATAAATTTTGCTAAAATCTACTCTCAACTTCTTCCTACACATGCTTGTATTATTTAATTTTCCAATCTACTTTGTTTTGTCTTATTTATGGCCCTACAAAGTAAGTAGAAGCCTATTTTGTAAAAAAGCAACATTAGCGTCCTTTAATTTTACTATCTTTCAACTATTATCTATATTTTAAAGATAATTTTCTATAAAACTTTAAAATTAAATTTTCTATAATATAATATTTTTTTCTCTCTTTCATTCATTAGCCATGTTACATCATGACAATTTAAGAATTAAAATTTCAAGGATTCCTACAATAAGCTAAGATCTATCTAAAATTACATCTAATCTAATATTTTAATAGATTTATTTAAGTTGGATACATAGATACAATCATATCTTGAAGTGCTCTCTCTTAATTTGTACCTTTAATGAAAAAGAATTTATAAATCTTAAATGACTTAAATTTATTTTTAGTAATATCTACAATTATATTAAAAAAAATAATTAAGAATAATTAGTAGAGATAAAGCTCATATCTATACAATAAAGATCATAATTAGCTATTATATATGGTGCTAAATTTTGAAACCTTGCTTGCAACTTGAATTGAAATCATAAAGTCTTTATTAATTAATTTTAATATGATATAAAATATAATACCAAAGTCTTATTATTGATAATCTCTAAACATCAAAGACAAGAACTTGATGAGTGCGAGTGAACAAGTGAAATTATTTTTCAAAAAAAGATGATAAAATAGAATATATATATATATATATATATATATATATATATATATATATATATATATATATATATATAAAAATTAAAAAATAAATTAAAATGGCTATTATCAAAAAAATATAGAAACTAAAGATCCTTGAAATTAGACTAGAAGCAAGAAATAAATTGAGAAGAGTGAAGAAGGCTTCATTCTTGAATCTATATATACTATCTAATTAAGAGCTATGTAGCAATGTTCTATAAGACCTCCAACAAGTGTTTAATTTAGAAGAAAAATGTCTTAACTTGTATAACAAGTTTCTTATATGCAAGTTATATGGTTAACTTGTATTATAAGCTACCAATACGCACAAAATGGGGCTAACTTGTTGGCCAAGTGTTCAACCTTTCAATCACCTTTAGACATATATAAAAATAAAACCATATCTATGAAGCATTAAAAAGCTTTTCTACAAGACATTATCAAATTTATCTATTTTAACCTATTTCTATCTATTCATATTATGTAAGTAACTATTGATATGAATATATATGTTTGTGATATAAAAATAGATTTATTGAAACGATTTATTAATCAAGCCATTGTATGCAATAATTGGCTCTTTAAAAGACATTGACAACAAAGATTTGATTAAAAATAAATAAATCAAGTCAAGACAATAACTTCTACGATTTCAAAATTTTATTTATTAAGTCATAAACTTATATAAATTAATGTAATATATTTTAAATATTTCATTGAGCATAAAAAGACATGATGTCATTAAAAAAGATTATGCTTATATTATGGAAAATCTAAGTGTATTACTCAATATTATCCAAAGAAGCAATGCAATAATAAAATAAATAAAGTGGTTGCAAAATAAATTGTTGTGTCAAAAAATAAGTTTGTTTAGTTATAATAGCAAATATGTGGGTAAAATCTTATATAATTTTTTATAAAGATCATATTTTTTCTACAAATCCTTCATCTTGCTTTACAATAGATGTTTTTTTAGGATCAAAAAATTACAAAGCCTTTACTTTGTCAAATTCAAGAGCCTCAAATGCTTTTTTAAAACAAAGATTTTATTAAAAAATAAAAAATATTATTAGTTCAAAAAAATAAGCATATATATTTAAAATTTATTTATGGTCATTTATTATCTTTTAAAGATATTATACATAAAAATATTTTTATAATTATAGTAATTAATAGTTATAATAGCTTAGTAATATTTAATATTATTATATCTTCTTTCAAATCAATTATTTTAGATTTATCATGGTAGAGAAGTTTAATCTTTAAATAGATTGGATTTCTTATTTTTATTATATAATTCAAAGTTTTTTTATTCAAATAAAAAGTTATAAGTTTAGTACAATAAAATATTTATTAATAGATATAAAAATTCATATATTTGCTATAAAAGAAGGCTCATTTTTTACTATTTATATTACATCTATTTTTAAAAATAAAAGGCTTTAAGCCATATTTTGAATTATTCTAAAGATTATTAAGACGTTTATGAAAAAAAATATAGATATTATTTTAGAGCATTATTTATATGATTATTCAATTGATCTTTAAGAAAAATTCAATGGCCATTTGGATGAATTTATGACTTATTACAAAAAAATTGTATGCATTTAAAGAATATATTGATAAAAACTTAGCTAAAAACTTCATATGCCATTCAAAATTTCTAGCAAGAGCACTTATTTTGTTTGTAAAGAAAAAAGCTAGATTACTATAAATGCATGAAGTGTTAAAGTAAGTAAGTAAGTAAAAATAAAAATAAAATAAGTTACCTTATAAAAGATATTATCTTAGATAAGTTGCTAATAGTCAAAGAATTGACTCTTGGTAGTTAAAAATGATATCTTATGGATATATGATAAGATTAAGGATCAAAAGTCAAAGTCAAGAGAATAAAGTATGAACTAGGGAATATTCAAAAATTAAATAAGAATAATTAATGTTTGACATAAGATACATTCAAGGTTAGTAAGATGCCAAATGATCTTAATATCATGTATATAAAAGTCAAAGAATAGAAGTTGTCTTCTAAGGCAGCAACTACCACTTATAAGTATTGGATGTTGGAAGTAAAAAACATCTTATTCCATATTCTTTTTATGTACAACCTTGCTGATGTTAAGTGTTGTAACTTCATAGTGCTTATTTTTTAATAGGTTATGGTCTAA